TGATGCTAATTTTTCTACTGCTTTTAAAGATACCAATGTTGTATTGTAAATTGATAATTGTTTTTCAATTGATGAAAAAGAAAAATCTCACGGAAAATGCAACAGCTAAGGCGAGACGTATCAAACCATAGAGATCTGAAGATTCTAGATAGATATTTACGCTCTAAGCAGTTACTGTTCCTCAAGGATACAGGCCTAGTTGTTTGCTCGGAAATAATTACCTATCTTTTTGTAATGGGTATGTGTACAAGTGTTCATATTTGTTCTCCCTTTTATTGTTTAGATTTTATGTCACCATTGGTTACACACTGCAAAAATCTACTTCAGAAAGAAAAGGAAAAACGTGGACTTTTATCGATGCTACCATTCTGCTAATATTCATGAAGGCCATTACAGGTCATGTTTGCTCTAACCTGCCATCCTGCTCAGTTGTGTTCTAACAGACATATTCTTCAAATCATAAAAAACAAACATGGAAACACTTTCATTGATATTTTGTCTGCTGTCATTTTAAGTTTGTCTGTTTCATTTTAAACCAACCATATATTTTGTAATACCAGAATAGGTTGAAAAGATAGCAATTCTCATCTTCTGTTGAAGATAAAACCTGGCAGACAAAGTAACCGTATTACTAGATGTAGATCTACTAAAACCATGAAAAAATCCGTTTAACATCAATTATTTCTATCTTCTTTTTCACAATACAAACTGATGAATTTTTTTATAAAGACAATATTTTATTTAAGACTTTTTAAATTGAATAAAGATGCATGCTTCAAGTGTTTAAGAAATTGCTGTTTGAAATGAGAAGAAATATACTTTGAAGACTGACGACTGCTGGCTGAGTCCCATTCCTTAGAAACTGTTTTGGGATCATATCAATTTTCAGAATGTAACATAATATTATATAACAATGTGTTGCCAAGTCCTAGCTGACAAGGAAAATCCAGTTCCTTAAATTTTGTCCTGATAATATATTACATTTGCTGTTTATTTAAACTGCAATCAAGACCTCAGGAAATTTAATGCTGGATTTTCCCTTGGTGGTACATTAGATAATAAATGCTTTATCCTAATTTCATTTGGTGATATAATAGTTGATTTATCCTGGTACTTTGAGTAGTAAAATAATAGATTTATCCTGCTACATTGAGTAGTAAAATAATAGATTTATCCTGGTACTTTGAGTAGTAAAATAATAGATTTATCCTGGTACTTTGAGTAGTAAAATAATAGATTTATCCTGGTACTTTGAGTAGTAAAATAATAGATTTATCCTGGTACTTTGAGTAGTAAAATAATAGATTTATCCTGGTACTTTGAGTAGTAACATAATAGATTTATCCTGCTACTTTGAGTAGTAAAATAATATATTTATCCTGGTACTTTGAGTAGTAAAATAATAGATTTATCCTGCTACATTGAGTAGTAAAATAATAGATTTATCCTGGTACTTTGAGTAGTAAAATAATATGATTTATCCTGCTACATTGAGTAGTAAAATAATAGATTTATCCTGGTACTTTGAGTAGTAAAATAATAGATTTATCCTGCTACTTTGAGTAGTAAAATAATAGATTTATCCTGCTACTTTGAGTAGTAAAATAATAGATTTATCCTGCTACTTTGAGTAGTAAAATAATAGATTTATCCTGCTACTTTGAGTAGTAAAATAATAGATTTATCCTGGTACTTTGAGTAGTAAAATGATAGATTTATCCTGCTACTTCTGGGTGATATAATAGATTTGTTACTTTACATATAATCATATGATAAAGACAGGATTTTACTATCTCACTGTTATAAATTCAGATTTTGAAAAATTTTTGTTGAAAATTGAAAATTTCTTTTAAAATGTCTTTGAATTTTCTATGCTCTAAAATCAATAGATGTTTATTTCACTCTAGTAAACCTTGTTAAAGGCAGGATACAATGTACTTATGTGAAATGAAATTGAATGTGAAAACAATAAACCAATTGTTAATAGCTAATGTCTGACAAAAGTCTGCCAAGGTCATTTATCTCTTTGAAAAAGTGACACTTTGATATAATCTTCTCAAACTTGACTTTAGTGGCTGTCACACCAACACCACGCTCAAAAAAAAAGAAATGTAGCTTGAAATTAAAGTTTCGCTTTTAATTTTTTTGTAGACAACTCTGTCCTATAAAGTACACGTAGACATGAAACATTACACATCAGCTGGTATGATTTATGTGTCCACTGATTGGATAATTGAGGACAAATGGGCATACTTTTATTTGTTATTCGTCATCTGAACCTTTGAGCTTCACCAGTAAGTGGCTCTGGGAGGCATTGCCATGTCCTCAAAATGTATCGTTTGGTGGGATGGGATGGAATTTTTCAGTGAAAGAAATGGCATGTTCCTTGCTATGATTGGAGTGTATTTTTCCCTTGGTGAATTAGCTGCAATTAATGTATTATTTCTGAACAATGTTTAAACCAGAAAGGACTGTTTACCCAGTAATTTATTGTGTTAACCTTGGAATCTAATTCTAGAATCAAGGATATATAGGGAAGACCCACAACACAGATTTATTTATCAATGATATATAATCATTAATGTTTTCTACATGAACAGTAGTCTTTACCTATGCTGTGTATTTGTACAAATATTTCCGGAATTCGGTGGTTCTGAAAACCCTGATGTACAGCAGAAAGTCTTGTTTATAAGTGACAAGATGTCTTGCCTTTTAAAGCTTGATCTTTGCTGTATTTGTCTGACTTAGACAATTCACAAGTAGGAACAGACAAATAAAGGAGGTACTTTCTAGTTGACATAAATACTACCCTCAGAAGTTAACAGATCATTTGTATATATATAATTAAGTAATGTAATTTAAGAATTTTCCCACTGAATCTAGATAATGCTTTTACTAAACAAGCAAGTCTACAGCTGCTCCACCTGTTAGCACCATTCATAAGCAAGAGAAAATAATTTGACCTTTTGTCAATGTAACTGTTAGAATTATAACTCAATTATGAAAATTTTCTGCTCGTTATTAACAGCATTCATTGCAAATTGATGCAAAAAACTGAAATATGTTGCAACAGCTTGTCTCAAATGTCTGTGTACTTGTAAGTGTATGTGTTGGGAGGCAGTGCAGTTGAGGGATCCATGACAAACATGTGTTTCTGATGTAGTGCAGCTGAGTGTGTACATGTATACATACATATGTATACAAATATGTACATTGTTAACATGTGTTTTGTTGTAGGCAAGGACATTGCAACACAAAACCTCACAATGACAGATACTCATTGTTACCCTGTGGAGTGTAATAACAATCTAAAGTCACTCTAGATATGTTGTGAATGTACTAGTACCTTACAAACACATGTATTTAGTATTCTTTATCAAAATTATCCAATATATATAGGAAAGGTGAAATTTATTGTTTATGGGGCTCAACATACACCTCCCTACCTAAATTTCGACATTTCTTTCAATAACTTTGGATTTTCCGCAGTCACCTCCTAGGCTTCAAAATTTACCAGGTAAGCCCTTAGAATCAATGGCGAGTCCTAGAAGAACAAAATAGCTCTATAATGCAGCTCAATTAATGGCTTGGCTCTGCTGTATCTGACTCTAAATTTGTATGAGAAAGTGTTATTCACTTAAGTATAGATGATAAAAACTGAAGAGCAGGTGCAGGATTTTGAATTGTTGAACAATGTTTCAGAGCATATTACCAGTTACAAGGGTTCAAATGGGAATTGTTTATATTTTACAGCTATAGATAGAAGGTAGGAAGGAGGCATTTTACTAAAAAAAAAAAAAAAAAACAAAATTAATGTTCGCTATAAATTATGGCCTGGGCCACAAATCACAAGTTGAATTAATCTTAATTCTTTTAACAATACAATATTTTTGGCTTTTTATCAGTGTTCATTTGTTCCTCCCTGAGAGAATTCCAAGTGCATTATACTGAAATGATGCAGAAGCTTTCCATCCCTTGGTAATAAAGGTGCATATTAAAGGACAGATATAGAAAAACCAGGATTGACAGGCTTGCAGGGCATTATACATGTATATAGGTATCAGTTTTATTAATGACATAGAATACAAAATGTGTCGGTTTTACTAGAGAGACAGATGCTTATGGCCAGGATCAGTACATTTGGTTTGAGGGCTGCTGCTGTTTGCTTCAGAAGGCTTCTCATGGAATATTTATATGCTGACACAGCATCTTTTGTTTAATCACCTCTATCATATAAAAAAAAGCTGCAAATTAACTTTTGTTCTTAAAAAGAATGTGCCATTGGACCATGCTATAAGTACATAAATATTGAAAATGTATAATGAATTATTGATTTTGGTTTAATTTCATGTTTACTGATTCTGCTGTTTCAATTGGTTTGTGTGAGATTTACTTTCTGGTACTATAATGGATAAATACATATTGTTGTGTTGCTGAATAGGAACCAGGTTATCACCAAAACCATTTCTCAAATTGTCAGACATCAGGCTTTTAGCCAATAAACTACGGTTCCATCAAGAGTAAAATTCTGTATTTGTGATGTATCATCATTATTCCTCAGAGTCTAATCTTCAGTTCTATAGTTTTGTGGTGCACATCTCCACTGAAGATTCAATTGAATGTTAAAGCTTCTAACTTGCCCATTTATTACTCTTGAATAAGTTCGGTTGTATGAAAAATATATTGATTTTATTTTTTTTTCACAAAATCATCTTTGCTGGACATCTTAATTGACTCAAAAAACCAAGAAGTTTACATTAAGAGCCATACTATACAATGATTTTGTGATGTTTAAATTCTAGAAAACATTGAAGAATTTCTGAATACATGACTTACTAGAAGTAATTCCGAAATGTACTCCCAAAAAATGCTAAAGCATTGTTTCCCTGCATACTGTGGAAAAGTGTTGATACTTCCTTGTACTATATGTATCACATAACTGAAGTACCATCAGACACTATTAGTTTCTATCAATAATGCATTATTTGTGTGTTTTCCAGTATATTGGGACATTGGATGTGCCCAGACCTAGCAGTCGTGTTGAAATTGTGGCAGCCATGCGTAGAATCAGGGTGAGTATTGATAAGGTTGATTTGTCTCCCTTGATTTTATGTTATGGGTCTGACCCAGCCTAACACAACAAGTGTTGAATAGGATGCATCAGCATTGGTATATTAAAATGTTCAGGTGTCAGAGAGCTTAATAATACAGCAGCTCTTCCACGACTGACAATTTTTTTGTAACATATTTCCAATTACTTTTTCCATTAGAGAAACTTCATTTAGATTTTAGTGTAACCTAGCTTTATAATCTTCCCTATGATAGAAACCTCTCCCTTTACTGTACAACCTGGCTATACACAACTCCCTCTGATAGAGACATCTCCAATTAGAGTACAACCTGGCTCTAGAGACCTCCCTGTGATAGAGGTATCTCCCATTAGAGTACAACCTGGCTCTGGAGACCTCCCTGTGATAGAGGTATCTCCCATTAGAATACAACCTGACTCTAGAGACCTCCCTGTGATAGAGGTATCTCCCATTAGAGTACAACCTGACTCTAGAGACCTCCCTGTGATAGTACAACCTGGCTCTAAAGACCTCCCTCTGATAGAGACCTCTCCAATTAGAGTACAACCTGTCTCTAGAGACCTCCATGTGATAGAGGCATCCCAGTTAAAATATAACCTGTCTCTAGAAACCTCCCTGTGATAGAGACATCTCCAATTAGAGTAAAACCTGGCTCTAGAGACCTCCCTGTGATAGAGGCATCTCCAATTAGTGTGTAACCTGGCTCTAGAGACCTCCCTGTGATAGAGGCATCTCCAATTAGAGTACAACCTGTCTCTAGAGACCTCCATGTGATAGAGGCATCTCCAATTAGTGTATAACCTGGCTCTAGAGACCTCCCAGTGATAGAGACCTTTCCAATTAGAGTGTAACCTGTCTCTAGAGACCTCCTTGTGATAGAGGCCTCTCTAATTAGAGTGTAACCTCTCTCTAGAGACCTCCCTGTGATAGAGGTATCTCTATTTACATTACAACCTGCCTCAAGAGACTTCTCTGTGATAGAGACATCTCCCATTGGAGTATAACCTGGCTGTAGAGACCTCCCTGTGATAGAGACCTCTCCATTTACTGTACAACCTGGCTATAGAGACCTCCCTGTAATAGAGGCATCTCCAATTAGAGTGTAACCTGGCCATAGAGACTTCTCTGTGATAGAGGTATCTCTCTTTACATTACAACCTGCCTCAAGAGACATCCTAATGATAGAGACATTTCCCATTGGAGTATAACCTGTCTCTAGAGACCTCCCTGTGATAGAGGCATCTCCAATTAGAGTGTAACCTGTCTCTAGAGACCTCCCTGTGATAGAGGCATCTCCAATTAGTGTGTAACCTGTCTCTAGAGACCTCCCTGTGATAGAGACCTTTCCAATTAGAGTGTAACCTGTCTCTAGAGACCTCCCTGTGATAGAGACCTTTCCAATTAGAGTGTTACCTGTCTCTAGAGACCTCCCTGTGATAGAGAGATTTCCAATTAGAATGTAACCTGTCTCTAGAGACCTCCCTGTGATAGAGGCATCTCCAATTAGAGTGTAACCTGTCTCTAGAGACCTCCCTGTGATAGAGGCATCCCAGTTAAAATATAACCTGTCTCTAGAAACTCCCTGTGATAGAGGCATCTCCTATTAGAGTGTAACCTGTCTCTAGAGACCTCCCTGTGATAGAGAGATTTCCAATTAGAATGTAACCTGTCTCTAGAGACCTCCCTGTGATAGAGGCATCTCCAATTAGAGTGTAACCTGTCTCTAGAGACCTCCCTGTGATAGAGGCATCTCCAATTAGAGTGTAACCTGTCTCTAGAGACCTCCCTGTGATAGAGGTATCTCCTGTGATAGAGACATCTCCCATTGGAGTATAACCTGGCTCTAGAAACCTCCCTGTGATAGAGACCTCTCCATTTACTGTACAACCTGGCTATAGAGACCTCCCTGTAATAGAGGCATCTCCAATTAGAGTGTAACCTGGCCATAGAGACTTCTCTGTGATAGAGGTATCTCTCTTTACATTACAACCTGCCTCAAGAGACATCCTAATGATAGAGACATTTCCCATTGGAGTATAACCTGTCTCTAGAGACCTCCCTGTGATAGAGGCATCTCCAATTAGAGTGTAACCTGTCTCTAGAGACCTCCCTGTGATAGAGGCATCTCCAATTAGAGTGTAACCTGTCTCTAGAGACCTCCCTGTGATAGAGACATCTCCCATTAGAGTACAACCTGTCTCTAGAGACCTCCCTGTGATAGAGAGATTTCCAATTAGAATGTAACCTGTCTCTAGAGACCTCCCTGTGATAGAGGCATCTCCAATTAGAGTGTAACCTGTCTCTAGAGACCTCCCTGTGATAGAGGCATCTCCAATTAGAGTGTAACCTGTCTCTAGAGACCTCCCTGTCTAGAGGTATCTCTTGTGATAGAGAGACTTCTCTGTGATAGAGACATCTCCCATTGTATAACCTGCTGTATAGACCTCCCTGTGATAGAGACCTCTCCATTATTTCAATTGAACACACACTGTGTAATAGAGGCATCTATTAGAGTGTAACCTGGCCATGAGACTTCTCTGTATAGAGGTATCTCTCACATTATAAGCCTCAAAGAATTTGATAAGACATTTCCCATTGGAGTATAACTAGAGATTGTGATAAAAATCTGTTAATTTTTTTTGGAAGGCAGAGTGTAACCTGTCTCAATAGAGACCTCCCTAAAGGTTTTGACCTTTCCAATTAGAGTGTAACCTGTCTCTAAAAGTCCCTGTGATAGTAGACCTTTAACAGAGTGATAAGACCTCCCTGTGAGATTTCCATGTAACCTGTCTCTAGATAATGCAATTAATCTCTACCTCCCTGTGATAGAGGCATCTCCAATTAGTGTGTAACCTGTTCAACCTCCCTGTGATAGAGACCTTTCCAATTAGAGTGTGAGGCAGTCAGTGTGATAGAGAGTCATTAGAATGATGTCAGACCTCCCTGTGATATAATCTATATTGAGTGTAACCTGGCTCTAAGACCTCCCTGTGATAGATTGTGTAAGATTCCTGTCTCTGACCTCCCTGTGATAGAGGTATCTCATTTACATTACACTCATAGATTCTGTGATAGTAATCTATTGGAGTATAACCTGGCTCTAGAAACCTATATAGACCTCTCCATTTACTGTACCACCTGGCTATAGAGACCTCCCTGTGATAGAGGCATCTCCAATTAGAGTGTAACCTGTCTCTAGAGACCTCCCTGTGATAGAGGTATCTCTATTTACATTACAACCTGCCTCAAGAGACTTCTCTGTGATAGAGACATCTCCCATTGGAGTATAACCTGGCTCTAGAAACCTCCCTGTGATAGAGACCTCTCCATTTACTGTACAACCTGGCTATAGAGACCTCCCTGTGATAGAGACATCTCCCATTAAAGTACAACCTGTCTCTAGAGGCCTCCCTATGATAGAGGTATCTCTATTTACAGTATAACCTGTCTCTAGAGACCTCCTTATGATACAAGTCTCCCATTAGAGTACAATCTGTCTCTAGAGATTCTACACTTTGTAGATAGACAGCTCTTTCCTCCATTGTAAAACATGCTGATAATTGTTTTATTATTTCAATTGAACACACACTGTGTCTTAGGATATTCAGGGTGGTCCATGAATGTATTTTGTCTGATATATGAGCAAAATTTGCAAAGTTTTATGATACATAACAAAATTTGCATAAAAAATCTGTTAATTTTTTTTGGAAATGCATTAAAGGTTTTGCTTTTCTCCAACCTGAAAGTTATTCTGTTTAAAAGTTCTGACAGTATGTTAACAAGTGATAAGAACTGCCTGTGAATCCATGTCTGTATATAATGCTAATCTCTACCAGTATGGACACTAGTTCAACTCCCCAGACAGGGGATGGTAGCGAGTGTGAGGCAGTCAGTGTGAGGCAGTCATTATGATGTCAGATACGATATAAAGTATATGTCTGTTACCCGGCACCATAACACGCCCCATTGTGTAAGATTCATGGCTGACTTCCACTATACGTACATCACACCATAATTACGGTAATAGGTCCTGTACAATATATAGATATAGTTGTCAGAATTCATGTCTGTTCAATACGAACTCTCACTATCTATCTTAGTTACTTTACACTTTCAGGAAATCTTTTTGTTAGTTCATCTGTTCAAAACAGCATGTGATCTCATTTGCACTGGGTACTGATATTGGGACTGAAGCATGCAGGGATGAAGGACATCCAACTTTGTTCAAATGAATAATCTTGACCTACTTTCATGGTTCCAGAGCTCAAAGATAGGTTTAAGTGTTGTTAAGGGTGATACTTAAGCTTAAGCTGTGGTCACACATGCGTTATATAACATAGCTTAACGTACCTAGAAATAAGCAGGGAAATTTGAAAGTTAAAGTATGTTTAAATATGTAAATCAAAGAAGGTTGAAATCAGGCAAATAATGAAAGTCTTGTTTGTTCTAGTCCACTGACAAAGCTATAGCTGTAACTATGTCGGCTGAGTAAAAACTACACCAAGCTATAGCTGTAACTATGTCAGCTGAGTAAAAACTACACCAAGCTGTAACTATGTCAGCTGAGTAAAAACTACACCAAGCTATAGCTGTAACTATGTCAGCTGAGTAAAAACTACACCAAGCTATAGCTGTAACTATGTCAGCTGAGTAAAAACTACACCAAGCTATAGCTGTGACTCTGTCAGCGGAGTGAAAACTACACCAAGCTATAGCTATAACTTTGCCAGCTGAGTAAGTTAAGGTACATTACATTATGTTGAAGTATGTTAATTCTAAGAATGTTAAGCTGCATTTTTTAATGCATGTGTGACAAAGGCTTTAGAGTAATGCAGTTAACAGGAATCTAACTGTCATTGAGGGATGCAGTTCCAAAGGGTCATATATACTGTCACGCTGAACAAACAGTTATCAAGAATGATACTGTCACTGGGGATTACAGCTACAAAGGGTCACACTGTCACTGATGAACACACAGTTACCAGGTTTTTATACCACAAGTGGTACTGACACTGAGGGGTATAGTTACCGGAAGATAGTGAGGACACTGAGGGCTACAGTTACAAAGGGTCACACCATCACTGAGGGGCACACAGTTACCTAGGATAGTGAGGACACTGTGGGGTACAGTTACAAAGGGTCACACCGTCACTGAGGGGCACGCTGTTACTCATACTGAGGGGTACAGTTACCAAGAGTTGTGCTGTCACTGGGGGTCACACAGTTACAAAGAGTTGTGCTGTCACTGGGGGTCACACAGTTACAAAGAGGTGTGCTGTCACTGGGGGTCACATAATTACAAAAGGTTGTGCTGTCACTGGGGGTCACACAGTTACAAAGAGTTGTGCTGTCACTGGGGGTCACACAGTTACAAAGAGGTGTGCTGTCACTGGGGGTCACATAATTACAAAAGGTTGTGCTGTCACTGGGGGTCACACAGTTACAAAGAGTTATGCTGTCACTGGGGGTCACATAATTACAAAAGGTTGTGCTGTCACTGGGGGTCACACACTTATTAAGGGTCCTCTGTATTCGAGGGTCACCCAGTTACCAGGATGGTACCATTAGTAATTTGTATGGTATTTTTGTTGCAGTATGAATTTAAGGCCAAAGCGATAAAGAAAAAGAAAGTATACCTGAACATTTCAACAGATGGCGTGAAAATAACTCTACGCAACAAACGCAAGGTAGGTCTCCTATGTCACTCAAACACTTTCATCACATATTAATACATGACTACACATTCAGATCCTAACCAAGATACAAAGGTGAACTGCAGAACCAAAAGATGACTGAATTCCATAAGGTAGACATAGTTGCTCTGTCAGATATTTTTCTAGGTTCTGTGGCAGGATACATATATGTTCCTCCACTTTAATCACTATTGATCAAAGCTGACACAGATAAGTAGTAGATAGAAATCGCCCTCACTGTGGACCAGAAGTGACCAACAACTCTGACGTATTGCAACAGAAAAATGATTTAGACTTACACGCCCTTGATTTCCCTTAAGACGGCAAAATGTGAACACTATGAAATAAAAAGGAGATCCCTCTCCCACACTAACTCTGGAAGAATTAACCTTTGTCTCCATCATTCTATCAGTCAATAGGATTGCCAAACTAACAGTTTGACAAAAGACCTGTGGAGGAATGACTGGGGCGGCAGTCACATGCTCATTGAAAGCTTTACTGTAGCGATATCAATAACCTGTAAAAGCTCTGTGCCATTGTGAGTGTAGGAAACAGTGATTTGATTTTATCTGTTAGCTGTTGATGGCTTCACATTGGAAAATTTGTTTTAATTTGTGGGAAGGTTTTATTCAAATTCTGTAAAAAAACACAACATTCCATGTGTTGTTGGATCAGGATGAACGAGAACCATTGATAACTTCAGAATGGTACCTGAAATCCAATCCATTATAACTGTACATAATCAGCATCTCCTGTCTACATATGTAACACCTCAGGTGTTCTGAAAGGCAAAACTGATGAAACGTGAATTTAAATGATACTGCTCAAGTTTCATAAAGATTAAAACCATCCTAGATCAATTTTTTTCCAAAGATTTAGGATATGTGGGTTATTCAATCTGTTTTAATCATGAGTTCAAAAATAATTTATCAAAACATCATCACAGTCATCACATTTTAGGAAGAAGGTTATATTTAAGTCACCTAAGACAGTGTGCATTGTGCATCATAATAAATCTTTAAATAAATTCTTCTCAGTTTCAACAATGGGATTGTAGTTTGCTGGTGTAGACAGGTTGGGGCGAGATTGTCCCTTGAAGTTGATGCATGAGGCCAGAATCCGTCATATTGACCAAATTTTCAAAACCTTTTCTTCTCATTACACAGAAATGATAGATGCTCTTATGGAATATTGTCTTAAGGTGCTTTATAAGAAATGTAAATTTCATACCTTTGGGTCCTACATTTTTCCCTGGGGAGTTGTTAGCTGCAGTTTATACATGTATGGGGAAATCACACTTTGAGCTGGTTTGTTTAATTGCCTTTGCATGGGAGTAATATAGCAACTCGGTCAAAATTATCAGTGTGGGATGGCAGTTTGATTGTATGTACATATTAACCCAGACTGACCCCAGGGGCTGATGAATGGTGCCAAAAATATATAAAAATATTCTTTTCAATACCTAGAAAGGATATACCATCAAATGAAGGGTTTGTATAGGAAAATATTATTTTTTTAGCATTATTTACTAATTAGACGTTAGAAATATTTCTCAAGCATTGGTCAAATTAGCTGAAATATTTCCTTAATCAGGTGACCTTTAAGGTTGATGGACTAGAGTTTGTATAATGATATTGTGTCTAACACATCTCAGACATTTTTTGATATTCCTCCATTCTGTCATGTAAAGACTGCATATATGAATATTATAACTGTGAAGTTCCTGAAAAATTGGAGACAAGTACTTACACAAAGGTCCTGAAATATTGGAGACAGTACTTACACAAAGGTCCTGAGATATCGGAGACATGTACTTACACAAAGGTCCTGAAATATTGGAGACATGTACTTACACAAAGGTCCTGAAATATTGGAGACAGTACTTACACAAAGGTCCTGAAATATTGGAGACATGTACTTACACAAAGGTCCTGAAATATTGGAGACATGTACTTACACAAAGGTCCTGAAATATTGGAGACAGGACTTACACAAAGGTCCTGAAATATTGGAGACATGTACTTACACAAAGGTCCTGAAATATTGGAGACATGGACTTACACAAAGGTCCTGAAATATTGGAGACATGGACTTACACAAAGGTCCTGAAATATTGGAAACATGTACTTACACAAAGGTCCTGAAATATTAGAGACATGTACTTACACAAAGGTCCTGAAATATTAGAGACATGTACTTACACAAAGGTCCTGAAATATTGGAGACAGTACTTACACAAAGGTCCTGAAATATTGGAGACATGGACTTACACAAAGGTCCTGAAATATTGGAGACAAGGACTTACACAAAGGTCCTGAAATATTGGAGACATGGACTTACACAAAGGTCCTGAAATATTGGAGACATGGACTTACACAAAGGTCCTGAAATATTGGAGACAGTACTTACACAAAGGTCCTGAAATATTGAAGATAAGGACATACACAAAGGTCCTGAAATATTGGAGACAAGGACTTACACAAAGGTCCTGAAATATTGGAGACAATTACTTACACAAAGGTCCTGAAATATTGGAGACATGTACTTACACAAAGGTCCTGAAATATTGGAGACAGTACTTACACAAAGGTCCTGAAATATTGGAGACATGTACTTACACAAAGGTCCTGAAATATTGGAGACATGTACTTACACAAAGGTCCTGAAATATTGGAGACAGGACTTACACAAAGGTCCTGAAATATTGGAGACATGTACTTACACAAAGGTCCTGAAATATTGGAGACATGGACTTACACAAAGGTCCTGAAATATTGGAGACATGGACTTACACAAAGGTCCTGAAATATTGGAAACATGTACTTACACAAAGGTCCTGAAATATTGGGGACAAAGACATACACAAAGGTCCTGAAATATTGGAGACAGTACTTACACAAAGGTCCTGAAATATTGGAGACATGGACTTACACAAAGGTCCTGAAATATTGGAGACAAGGACTTACACAAAGGTCCTGAAATATTGGAGACATGGACTTACACAAAGGTCCTGAAATATTGGAGACATGGACTTACACAAAGGTCCTGAAATATTGGAGACAGTACTTACACAAAGGTCCTGAAATATTGGAGACAGGACTTACACAAAGGTCCTGAAATATTGGAGACAAGGACTTACACAAAGGTACTGAAATATTGGAGACATGTACTTACACAAAGGTCCGGAGACATGTACTTACACTAAGGTCCTTAAATATTGGAGACAAGGACTTACACAAAGGTCCTGAAATATTGGAGACAGGACTTACACAAAGGTCCTGAAATATTGGAGACAGGACTTACACAAAGGTCCTGAAATATTGGAGACAGGACTTACACAAAGGTCCTGAAATATTGGAAACATGTACAATATTGGAGACCAGGACATACATAATTCTCACCCTGACTGATTGAATAACCACACATACCTTAAAAAAAGGGTCCATAGTTCAAAAAGATATTGATGGAAACAGCTATCCCATTCTTAGTGTTATACTACACACACCATATGTTGAAGTATTTGTATATGAGAATATAAGTTCTGTATGTGGGTATGTTTGTGTATCTGTATTTTGGAATATATGATGAATTTATGGGAATGTTTTGATGAGTATCTGTATTATTTGAGTACATGTTTGATGACTTTAACAACAGGAAAACACATCAGGGGTTTGCCAGATTCTCATTTACAGATGATAGAAATAACAGAAATTGTGTTATGATAAAAATCAATAAACTAGATTTCCTTGAGAAATTCATCTTCAGAGAATTCATATAATGACAATCTGTCTCAAGTACCAACATTATGTCTTCAGAATGGTAGCAGTAATGGTGTTTTCATAAGCATTCTACTGCTTTAGTTACAAACGATTATTTGTCATGCCTCTAAAGGATTCGGAATGTCGCCATTTCAGTTTAAAATGTATTTATTTTCTTCGTTCTGGAAAACTTGTTTTGGTTGAAATAAATAATTGATTTTGATGTTCTGTAACAGAATTCTCTTTTGTCCTGAAGTATTCTTTGTTTGCTATGTAAAGTTTATGTATAGTTACAATTTCTGTTAACCCCAGTCAAATTCACTGGAGATTAGTACAGTAACAATGTGAATAGACAAACAGTTTTGTTTAAAATTCTTTTCTTACTTGAAAATATGATTTGTTTTAGATTGTACAATTTAAGCTTGTGTTGTTGAAAACTGTTAACATCATGTCGTAAAAACACACATTTAAATATATTTTAGAATGCAGTATAATATGATTTGTAAGCAACTGGGTAGAATTCTTACAGTTACAGTGAGAGAATTGCTGTTGTGAATTGCTTATTGTTTTTGGAACGCTTGAAAATCGTTCACAACACAATCAAAGCATAGTCAACAGAGTCACAAAACACTTACCTGTAATAGCGTCAGTCACAACATAGTCAGTAGAGTCACATCACTCTCAACAAGTCACCCACAATAGTCATAACAACACTTAATACAGTCAGTCAGAACACACTCAATAGAGCCGTTCATGACAGTCCGAACACACTCAACAAAGTCAGACCATGCATACAGTCCCAACACACTCCACAGAACCTGTCACAAGACATTTACAACACTCTCAATAGAGTCAGTCAAAACACACCCAATATAGTCACTCACAACTTACTCAACAAAGTCACTCACAACACAGTTAAAACATAGTCACAACAAAACTTAACAGGCCTTGATCTCAAAGTCACAACTCTCTCCTTAGTATTGGTCACAACACACCAAACAGAGTAACAAGATCAGTCACAAAATTTGTAACAGAGTAAATCAGTCACAGCAGAGTCACAATAGACTGAATAGTGTTTTTACATCACACTGAACAGAGTCTTTAGTCACAAGACAGTGAGAAAAACTAAAAACTCAACAGAATCAGTCCCGTTATCAAGTCACTACACGCTGAACAGACCCTGGTGAGTCACTTCACATTCACAACACAGTCACAACACACTTAACAGACATTCAA